ATAACACATTAAAAATAATCAAAACCCCATCAGTCCAGGCTGGGCAATTTGAACAGCCATGTTTTTAGTTCGCGGCGGAAAGTGCGAAGGTCAGGGGTCAACCGGAGCCCCAGAGGGAGTTGATTCCAAAGGTTGGGTGCGCCCACAGAGAAAGCTCTACCCCTGGTGGTCGCCAGCCGACATTGTCTAGCCGACGGCACCCTGAGTAGGCCCTCCCTGTGAGAACGCACCGGGCGATGGGAAGCTGTTGCTGGTTGCAGATGGTCCGACAGATATTCTGGGCCTAAGCCATGTAGGGCTTTATAGGTCATCACCAGCACCTTGAATCTCACCCGAAGGGCAACCGGCAACCAATGCAAGTCGCGTAGGAGAGGTGTAACATGGGAGTATCAGGATCCTCCCATCACAACCCACGCGGCTGCATTCTGTACCAGCTGAAGCCTCCGAGCTTCAGCTGGTACAGCTGTTCTTTCCAAGAACACCCCTTCTTCCCCCGCCCCATCCAGGATGAAGCAACACAACAGGCCCTGGTTTTGTTTTTTCCTCCACACAATTCTGCAACTCACACAAGTCAGGGAAAGGGGAGGAGGATGGGGCGTGTTGACTGTCAAAACCCTTTGTGCCAGCTGGCCCAGAGATTTCTGCAGCAGGGAGATAGCTTTGTTAGCATTGGTTAACAAGGTTCTCCAATCAAAAAATAAGGTAAGGTGGGTGTGGAAATATTTGTTTTTGCAACCCTTGCCAACTTCTCTTAACCTCTGCATTGTTTTCAAGGAGCTTACCGATTACCCTGTCAGATTCTTTCTATATACCAATAAGTAAGCAATTATTTGGATTATAGGTGGTTCTGTAAATATGAGTCAGTTGCCAAGCATCTGAATCTTGATCATGTAAAGCATAAGGATGCTGCAATGGTTGTATTTTTTTTTAAAGAATAACAAGAGTTGGAAGGGATCTTGGAGGTCTTCCCCTGCTCAAACAGGAGACCCATTGCAGACAAATGGCTGTTCACTCTCCTCTCCTCTCCTCTCCTCTCCTCTCCTCTCCTCTCCTCTCCTCTCCTCTCCTCTTCTATTCTATTCTATTCTATTCTATTCTATTCTATTCTATTCTATTCTATTCTATTCTATTCTTCTCTCCTCCTTTCCCTTCCCTTCTCCTCTCTTCCTCTTTTCCCTCCCCTCCCTCCCCTTCCCCTCTCTCCTCTCCTCTCCTCTCCCCTCTCCTCCCCCCTTCTCCTCTCTTCTCCTCTCCTCTCTCCTCCCCTCCCCATTGCGTCCAGGGATGGAGCACTCACAACTTTGTTCCAATAACCCACAAGTCATTCCAACAACCCTGTAGTACAGTGGACTAAAGCACATTGTTATTAACATCAGCTGCCTGCAATTACTGCAAGTTCAAATCTCACCAGGCTCAAGGTTGACTCAGCCTTCCATCCTTTCAAAGGTAGGTGAAATGAGGACCCAGATTGTGGGGGCAATAAGCTGACTTTGTATAAAAATATATAAAAGTATGAAGGCTATTGCTTAACGCATTGTAAGCCGCCCTGAGTTTCCGGAGAAGGGCGGCATATAAATTAAAGCAAACAACAACAACAACAACAACAACAACAACAACAACAACCATAAATCATTCCATTAATTAATTGTCCTGTCAGGAAATATCTCTTTAGTTCTAGGTTGGTTCTCTTGTTGCTTAGTTTCCATCTGTTGTTTGTTGCCTCGCCTTCGGGTGCTTTGGAAAATAGGTTGAATAGATCCGGATGGATGGAATCTGAATAGATCTGAGCAGCTTCAGTGCCGTTATAATTTTGAACAGTCACTAAACAAATGGTTGTAAGTTGAGGCCTGCCTGTATTTGACTTTTAGATCAGGCCTCACTGATTTGGAGGGTACATAATACTAAAAGGTCTTAAAAGAGAGCTGATGGGGTGTAGTAGTTAAGGGGTTAAATTAGCAGCAGGAAGGCCCAACGTTCTCTTCCAGGCCAATCTACCTCACAATAATTAAATGTGGAAGTGTAAAGCATTCAGAAATCAGTTGGTTAAAAATGGAATAAAACGATCATTGGGGCAAAGGTTTGAACAGTTTGCATTGGTGGTTAAAGGTTGCTTGGGAGAGTTGGATTTTCTAAAGCTCCTTTTAAAACTCAGTGTGGAGGATGGGTCTTCAAAATCAGCAATGAAGATGCGGAAGCCCATCTGCAGGAAGAGGGACCTCCTGGGATGGTCTTGGGAATAACAACTGCACAGGAAGAGTTATTTTCTTTCATTTGTACATTCCATAACAGCTGCATTTGTTAAGAAATTCAGCTGAACTCTTGTTAAATTGCATTATTTAGAGCAATTTCCTGAATTTGCGTCTAAACTTGAGATGAAAAGTTCACCTTGTTTGAAAGTTTAGAGAATCAGTGCAGAATTTGAGAATGGAGTGGAGTGGAGTGGAGTGGAGTGGAGAGTGGAGTGGAGTGGAGTGGAGTGGAGTGGAGTGGAATGGAATGGAATAGAATAGAATCTGGAAGGGACCTTGGAGGTCTTCTAGTCCAACCCCTGCTCAGCCAGGAAACCCTATACCATTTTAGACAAATGGTTGTTCAGTCCCTTCTTAAAAGCCTCCAGTGTTGTTGAAGCATCTACAATTTCTGAAGACAAGTTGTTCCACTGGTTAACTGTCCTCCCCGTTAGGAAATTTCTCCTTAATTCTAGGTTGCTTCTCTCTTTGTTCAGTTTCCATCTGTTGCTTTATCTCAATCATTCTTTACGTTGTTATATGTATATCCTTTTTAATTATTAAATCATTAGAGAGATAGTTTAGTCCAAATGATTAAATTGCTGCCCTGGAAACCACAAGACTCTGAGTAAGTCCTGCCTTAGACATGAAAGCCAGTGTGTCTTTCGCAATATACATACCTAAATATTTACTGCATTTGGTACAAATGCAGAATTGATATTACTTAAGTGGTAACTATATTTTCACCTATTGTCATCCTCAGTTAATAGAATATCCTTCTGTTTTACTAAAGACATCTTTCATTTGTATCAACACAAGAATAGTAGTGCAAGGTTTAGAAATAAACAGAAAAATATCCTCTGTAAATAAAACCAGTTTATTTTCATCTACCACTCCGTAAATCTCCCTAGTTGTCTCGTAGGATTCCAAGCCCAAGAGTCCACCCAAACAGTAAAAGGGAAATGCAAAGGTTCTTTTTCCAAAGGCAACTGGATTTTGTTTTTCCTTGAAGGTGTTTCGCTACTTTATCCAAGAAGCTTCTTCAGTTCTGACTGAAGTCAATCAATATTTGGGGTGTTATGATATCTCGACGGCTGGGGAAACTACATGAAATGTTTGTGGCTGCAGGTTTCTACAAGCAAACAAATGTGGGTTTTGATTACAGAGAAGGGAAGGTAACTCTATGCTGCATGAACCAGCAGACTAACCACAGTGAACAAAACTCCCCTTCTTGTTCCCAAGTTTTTAGAAATAAAGCGGGTAATTAAGCTGCCACTACCATCAGTCACAATGACAGCTTAGTACTGCTCAAACTGTTGGAGACAATCTGCTCCCTGTTCTCCTTTGCTGGAGTTTCTTCTTGTGCCCCAGTCCTCCTCCTCCTCACTTGGGGGACATTGACAGTCACTGGGCAAGGAAGCCTGTCCCAGCCACTGGCTGTCCGTTCTTTCTCTTCTTTCTTCCCCTCCTTTTTTCCTTCTCTAGTTTTGATTTGATTCCTCCCCATCATTTGCCATCCTCTTCTGGCAGCAGGTGCTGCATTTTTCAAGCCGCTTTGAAGGAGCCTTTCTGGAGATTTAATGCCAAGGTGTTTGTGTTTGTGTGGGGGAATCGATACCCTCGCTCTGCAGCTTTGATGGTTTAGCTTTGTGTTTTTCAACCGTTTTAACATGAGGGGACTCCAGCTCTCAGAATTCCCCAGCCAGGGAAACTGTGGTTTAGCCTGCAAAAAAGTTGGCTTCTTCTGTTTCCCATCCTTCTGCTGCCTGCCAAGCTTTGATTTCTACTTCTGAGGAACCCACTTTGCAGTTGAGAGTCTTCTGTAGAGCAAATACTCCTTCCCTTCCCTTCCTCCTCTCCTTCCCTCTCTCCTCCCCTCTCCTGTCTCCTCTCCTCTCCTCTCCCCTCCCTCCCTTCTCCTCTCTTCTTCCCTCCCCTCCCTTCCTCTCCTTTCTCCTCTTCTCCCCTCACCTTCCTCCCTTATCCTCTCCTTTCTTCTCCTCTCTTCTCCCCTCCCCATCTCTCCTCTTTCTTCTCTTCTCTTCTCTTCTCTTCTCTTCTCTTCTCTTCTCTTCCTTCATTCTCCTCTCTTCTCTCTCCCCTTCTCCTCTCCTCGCCCCTCCCCTCCCCTCTCTGTTACCCTTCCCCTCCTCTTCCTCCTTCTCCTCACTTTTCCCTTCTCCATTTCCATCCCCCTCTCCCTTCCTCTTCCTTTTTCCTTCCTTTCTTCTTTCAGTTGTACCCCAAAGCCAAGCAGACTTTCCACTTTGAAGCAGGGGATTGTTTTTAGGGCTCCTGATGGACATCTTAGCCAGGTCCTATTGCCCTTGATCCTCCCCACCACCCCCATCTCCAATCTTTCCATCTAACCTCTTGGCTTCTTTCTAAACCTCTCTCTTCTACCACCACCCCATGCGAAGAGAGCTCTTGCCTTTTCTCAAGAATCTGTTCGATCCCATCTCTCTCAGAAGGATCAGAACTTCACTCTGGGTTATATATCTGTAGCGAAACCAACATTTGTAAACCTGGCCAAGGAGTTACTAACCCTGCATGCATTCAGCTCTCAGTAATTACACTGTGGATGCTAGCTGTGGAGTCAAACGAGAACTGGCAGGTGATGTCACCAAATTTGAGTTGCTGGTGTATTGTTAATGAACCCCTACATATCTCTCTTCTGAGCAACACACGTAATTAACATAATCTGAATCCTAGGGTGCATTTAAGGAGGAAAGGCTGGAGACATTCTTCACCTTAATTGTTTTCTTTTTCTAGCATTTAAAGTGTTGGGCTTGTCTTTGCTGAAACCAGAACTGAATCCAGGCAATAAGAATGCAGATTCCTGGTAAGTGTCTCACAAGATACTAGGAATGCTGTAAGAGAGAAAACAGTAACTACAATTATAAAATGCCTTAGAGTGAATGTCTTTCCTTTCTATTCTTTTTCTCTCTCCTGTTACACTAGTGAACTTTATAGATCTATTTCTCCACCCATCCTTTATATAATTAAATAGTGCAGAAAAAAAGACAAAAAGGAAACAATAGAAAGAAAGAAAGAAAGCAACACACAACAATAAGAAAAAAATTATATATATATCTCCCAATTCTATTCAACTACATAGTTATTATGTGGAAATTGATGGTTGGATATGGAAATGGAATTTCTGCACTGTTACTTCTAGGAACATGGTCTTCCAATGCTGGATAAATAAACGTATTGACCAAGTTTCATGTTGGGTTGACATCTTGATGTTCCCTGTGAGTCACTTACAAACGTAGATTTGTGTATTGTGTGGACAATTACAATGCAGCATGCTTAGCCTGCATGAAAACTGTTGTGGGAATTTTATACACAAATCTATTTGTGATATAAATAAGCAGGGGAAGGGGCTCCAACAGTTCCCAGAGCTCTCTATCCAGAAGAGTGCTAGGAAGGGTTAAGATCCTGCACGGATAGATAGATAGATAGATAGATAGATAGATAGATAGATAATGGATGGATGGATGGATGGATGGATGATAGATAGATAGATAGATAGATAGATAGATAGATAGATAGATAGTAGATAGATAATGGATGGATGGATGGATGGATGGATGGATGGATGGATGGATGATCCTGTGACGGTCGTAACTGTGATTAAACAGCCTTTTTTTTTTAGGGTCGTACCTTCGAGCAGTCACTAAATGAATGGTTGTAAATCAAGGATTATCTGTAGTCTACAATAACTTGGTAGATATGTTTGGACAGCAAACATATATCTTCTCACTGAATGTCCTCATATCCTGAAATTCTCACAACCTGAGTAAAATTATAGTTCTTATTTCTGTTGCCTTTGTTTTGATTTTTTCTAAAAAAAATTTCAAATTGATTTTCACTATCTTCACAAAATGTCCATCTCATTGATTTTGGCAACAGTACGGATTGCTTTCTCTCTTTGGATTTCTTTGGACTCCTCAATTATTTATAATCCTATATAATCCCATTATTTTCTCGTGTTGCTCAACTCTGCTTAGCTTCTCAGCCAGATATGGCCACTCTGATCCTGCTGCCTGCTGAAATATTTCAAATCAGAGTTTAGTCATTTTATTTAGTCAGCTCATTTCTTTGGGCAGAGGCAAGATGTACATTTAATCATTTGTGCCTCATTTGTTGACAGTACAAAAATCTACTTTCTTGGGGCTTTAAAAATGTTGAAAGGGGAGTATTCAACTATGCAACCCTCAAGAGAAATGTTTTTAAAAGGGAGGGATCACACTTGGAAGCAGAAATGAAGTTGTTCAGGGTTTATAAACCTTTCTGTTCTTGGAAATATTGAAAATGTTTGTTTCTGAGCCAGAACTGCATATAATCAGTGTGATATCATTTGTTCTCTCAGACATCCCCAGATACCAATATTGATGTGGGGTGAGGTGAGATATGATATGATGTTCTTCATCTTTAAGGTCAGATAATTCCATCCATCAATGTTCATCAAAGAAGGACTATTGCATCCTTCTGTTTGCAAAGCTGGGAATCTCATAGGTAGATCTATAGCTTAGAATGGATTGAGTTTATAAATTGTTAGCGTGGATTTCCTAATGTGTTGCTTGATGAGGTAATATATAGTTTCATTATGAAATCAGCAAAATGAACCAGTGAAGGCGTATGCTTCCAGGATTACAAGGATTCAGTGATGCCAGTTACTGCATATAAATGGGATGTGTGAAATTTTGCAGTCTCATAATCTTGGTTAGAAAGAACTAAGCTTCTGGACTTTAGTGAGGGAAGAGTGTCTGGCCAGTTTTCAGAATAATTGGGAAAGTGAATAGGTTGACCCATCAACCAAAATTATTATAATATAACCAAAAAATAAGCGAAGCATAATAAATTAACGTGGACTTAATACAGCCACATAATCCTGAGTCTCTTAATGGATGTTTTCAATTTCTCTTGTTTAGTGTAGTACTTCTCAACTCAACAACTTTAAGATGTGTGGGTCTCAGTTCCCAAAATTCCTCTAGCCAGCTGGAGAATTCTGGAAATTTAAAAGCCCACTCATCTTAAAATCGCTGAAATTGAGAAATATTGGTTTAGAGTAATATGTATACATATGTTCAAGTTACACCAATTCATTTAGTGACAGTTCGAAGTTACAACAACAATGAAAAAACTGACATGATTATTTTCACACTTATGTGAAATGCAGCATCCCCATGGTTGTGTGATCAAAATTCAGATGCTTGACAACTGACTGATGGTTGCAATGTCCCGAGGTCAGGTCATCACTTTTTGCAACCTTCCGACAAGCAAAGTCAATGAGGAAGCCAGATTAAATTAAACACTGTGTTACTAATTTAACAACTGCAGTAATACACTTAACAACTGTGGCAAGAAAAGTCATAAAATGGGGCAAAACTCACAACAACTGCCTGCCTCGCTTAACAACACAAATGTTGGTTGTATTGTGGTCATAAGTCAAGAACTACCTGTATACCGTAAGTTTTTTCAGTCCCGTGTCTCAAAGTCATTTAAAAAGTATTCTCCTTTAAAACATGCTCAAAGTCTGTTGATTCTATTGACCTGCACTTTTCTTGGGTAACTATATAGAATGCCATTGCCATTTGTGTTTGACCCCGTGGACTCATTCTAGACTCTGTAAAGGGATCCACTGCAGTGGTGGGTTGCTACCAATTCACTCCAATTTGGATGAACTGGTAATGGTGGCAGGCTCCGCCCGCCCACCCAGACATCATCAAAAACGCTCTGCACATGCGCAGAACCTGCCCACTCGCTCCCAATAGCGAACCGGTAGTGCCGGGATTTGAAACCCATTACTGATCCACTGGCCTCCCATCCAACAGCTAACCTCACTTGACTCTGCTTAGCTTCCCAACTAGAAGTTCCCCAGATTCTCCCACCTGCTAAGGTTAAAGTAGTTTAGAATGGGATGATGTCATAATTCTAAATATTGGATGACATCATAATTCTAAACCTTCTGCCATAGCTTAAAGTTCTTCTTGCTGGGATCTTGTCAGACAAGTGGGTTTGCAATGGCCTGGCTTTTACAAGTCTGTATGAGAACATTGACAAAAGAGCCAAGAAAGATAAGTGCTGTGAACAATGTCTTTTCCCAGTTTTCCTCTTGCTGTGCTTGCCAAAACAGGTCACCAAAGGTTAAAATCCTTTTGTTCAGGAGCTGCGTTTTTAAGTTCAGCTGTCCAGCTGGTGAGTATCTAAATAGCAAGAGTTTTGTTCACCTGAACACATCAGTAACGGTAACAGTATAACAGAGTTGGAAGGGATATAGGAGAGTTTCTAGTCCAACCCCATTTCAGACAAACGGTTGTCCAATCTCTTCTTAAAATCCTCCAGTGATGGATCTCCAATCTCTTCTTAAAATCCTCCAGTGATGGAGCACTCCCAATTTCTGGAGGCAAGCCGTTCCACTGATTAATTGTTCTGACTGTCAGGAAATTTCTCCTTAGACTGCCTATACAATGCAAATGTATGCAAATTAAGCTGTCTTCAGTTCTCATTTAAGAGTTGGAGGGGACAAATCAAATAAACACAGCTGAAGTTCTTCTTGGCTGGGTTATTCCTCATCTGAGCTACCTCGAGATGGAGAAGTCCTATTTTCTATCTTAGAATCAGACAATTTCCCAAACTGTTTAGAGGGACAAAAGGGGTAAACCAAGCTAATGCGGTCCAGGTTTCAAAAAGGCTTGATGCACCTTTCAAAATAAATTTGTGGGGTCTAATACCATTTGCATTGCCTCAGCATTTTCTTCCATATTCCTGGCTAGAGACACATTACAATGGTTTACTCTGCAAAATTGCCCAACCAATTCACACACTGTCAACTACGGAGTGTGCAATTAGTTCTAGGTTGGATCTCTCTTGATAAGTTTCCAACCGTTACTTCTTGTCTTGCCCTTAGGTGCTTTGGAGAATAAATTGACCCCTTCATCTCTGTGACAGTCCCTCAAATATTGGAAGATGGCAATATTTCTTTTTTATACATTAAAATCACTCCTACTCCTTCTTTGTTAGACTAATCATACACAGTTCCTGCAACCGTTCTTCATAAATTTTATTAGCCTCCAGTCATGTAATCATCTTTATTGGCCTTCTCTGCACTCTTTCTAGAGCCTTGACATTTTTTTTTTGTATCACGATGACTAATCCTTCATACATACACAAACACATACTTTTTGTTATCCTCTTCTGCACCATGGTGATTTTTAGAAAAGATTTCCAGTTTCGTTTCTAAGCGTTCTCTTCTTTCGTGAGTTTCCTATTTTCGAAATGGTGGATAGTATTTGATCTTTCTCTTTCCTTGTTTATTTTGTGACTGCTGCTAAAAAAGACTTCTTTATATTCTAGGGTTCCCTGAGTTGACATTTCTCAGAACTCAATATAAACTGAAACGGCCAATAAATAGTTATTCATTTTGGTAGCTGGTCTATGTGGCATGCTCCAAATATCTTGATATCCAATATTTAAAACTTCAACCGTTTGAAACATTTCTTGAGAAGACTTGTGATTTTTTTTTTAAAAAAAAAGCCAAATCAAATAAACTACTCCTGAGAGGGGAAAAACAAACATCTTTGATCAATATTCAACTAAAAGCTAAAAGATGAAAAAGCGTAAATCAAAATAAGGTTGTTTCTTCCTGAATTGAGCCAAGACAGTTTATTTTCCATCCAAATATTTATCCTATGTAGTTGTTGGCAGGTCTCTATCCATTAAACCTGGATCTGGGGATAGCCAATAATAAATTTAGAATGGGCACTAAACAGGCATATTATTATTATTTTTTTCACGAACCAGAACTTCAATCATTCAAGATTCTGCTTTTTAAAA